GTATCACAAAAAAAAAGAAAAACGCCTGTTCCCAGCCCACCTCATCCCACCTGTGGGGCTTTTCCATCAAGCTGCTTAGTGATCTGCATGGTGGGGAGTCAGCACCTCATTCCACCTGCCACAACTAGACTGGGAGTCAGAAAAGGAGCACACTCACACAGTGATAAAAAAACACCCACATAGTGACAGGCTTGGTGGTGGGCCTCAACCCCCATGGCAGTGTTGGGCTTCACACAGAGCTCTGCAGGAGGTCAGAGATTATCCCCATACTTGTAGACAGTCATAAAATGTTAATCCTCAAACATCTCTTCAAACTGTACTGTTAAATCAGGATCTTCTTCTCAATCGCTCCTCCTCCTTAGTCCCCCTGTTTCTTAATCCATCTCTCTCCATTCTCTCTAGTATTCCACTGATATTCCCCCACCCCCCAACACACATATTCCCATCTCCGTCCTCTTTCTATCATCTACTTTTAACTCCATCCTTTCCCTCCCGATAAACCCCCTTGATCCCTGTTTCCTACTTGAAAGCGACAAGACCTCATCCCCGTTCTCTCTTATCCTTTTCTTTGCGCTGCCGGCCCAGCCCTCGCTATCAGCCCCGCATTGATCTTCTCATCCCTAAGAAAACAAAACACCAATCAGCCTGTCATAATCACTCTGCTGGAGGAGGAAGTGCTGAACGCCGAGCACAGCTGCTACATGTTGATGCAGAGACAGTGAACAAAGTAAAAAGGGTAGCAGAGCTTTTTTTTTTTTTAATGAATGAACATGTGCTGGATGTGTTCTATTTTTAAAATATGTTACAAAAAAAGGACTCTGAAGGTTTATTAACTACACTGTTGATTCCAGTCTGTTAATGATGATACTGATTCTCATTTCTTTTTTATTTGTATGCAGGAACAATCAAGTGACAGCTGCTGGAACTGTTCCTTCTAAAACTGACAAAAAAACATCCTCTCTGAATGATATCTGGTACCCCACAGCTTCCCTCCTCCATTCACTCTGATTTAGGCTCGTAAAAATTGCCCTCTACTGCTCGTACCTTTTTTTTTTTTTACAACTTGTCCCGCAGGATTTTTCTTCAGGAGGGTTTGGCTTCTAACTTCCAAACAATAAATGCAGTTTTTGATCTGTCAGCAGTCTTCCAACTGTTACCCCCATCGTATTGTGCTTTGTTGCCATGCAAAACACATGAAAAGTAGCTTAATGTCTTCACACACCTCAGCATCTTTCTACCGCAGATGCTTTGGCAGTTTGGCACACTAAAAGACGTCAAACCGCTTAAAATGTAGGTTTCCCCGCTGAAGTGTACCACTAAATACTTTCAAAGTTGGATAAGTCCCTCCTAAAAATCAATGAAAGATTTATAATATTCATTAGAAACACTGAAGAGATTGAGTTTGAAATTCCCAAACACAAGAAAAAACAAAGGTATGTAGGATAACACTGATTAATTCATACAGAGCTGCCCAACCTTCAGCCAGGTGATCTGGCACTACTACCACCCAACCAACAGCTGGTATAAACTTGGTGTTAGAAATGGAAGAATGTCAAACAGAGGCCTAATAGCATTAAATTAAAGTCAGGTCCTCTTCTGCAACACATTTCTAAAGATCAATAGGCTTGTCTATTACACCCTAAGGTGGACGACATCATCTATTTCATTAAAGTTTTTGTAATTCCAGTCGGCATTAAATTGTTGAGCAACAAACATTAATATTGGGAAAGAACAAAAACAAATCATATCTTACTTCATTTCATTGCAAACAAATGTTTGTATTCATAATTTCTATTTCATGTTTTGTGTGCCGTTTGAGCTTCACTCTCATCTCAGAGCTCTCTATATGTGTTGTGAAACAATTCAACAAACACAAACTTGCATCATACAATGATCTCTCTGAGAACAGAATGCTCTAAAGATGTCGTACTTTTTTTGTTCATATTTCTTTTTTAAATACCGTTGTGATTTCAGAATGTTTCAAGATGTTGGTTTCTTTTTTTTTCCAAGGGAATCCAAAGAAGCTAATTTTCTTGCTTAGCAGGTTACACTTTTAATTGCCACCGGCTCATTTCAGCCAATTAGCATGGCATTGTCTGCTAATTACCTGCAAGTTGAGTTGGTATGACTTCAGGAACATCAAAGTTAAAACAACTCACCCTGAAGGGAAACGTCTAAATATATATTTGCGGTTAAGATGGTTGACAGACAACAACACATATGAACCTCATGATGAGGTTAAAGGAGGGTCAGGGGATCTATAAAGTTATTTAAAATCACAGGGTGGGAACCATGGATTTATGTACAGAGCTTCCCTCACAAACCACCAACCAACAAACGTACTATGGCCATACCCCCAGAGTAGCTGATCTGTTACTTTCACTTATTCAAAGTTTGAAGTTTCAAACACAATGAGAAAAGCTATTTGAAAGTCTAAATTGCAGTCTATAAACTTGGTTTATATACAGTATGTAAGTCATTAAGATACAGGTGGCATTTCACAACCAGATAAAAAAAACTGTTTATATGTGTAATAAAGAAAAACCTGCATAATCACAACATTATGCTCCATGAGCGTTCAGTAGCCCTGACACATGATATACGCAGAACACAAAGAACAATAAATTTGAATCCAGAATAAACATTAATAGTGGTCAGCTGTGCACCAGTTAAGGCTGTTCTTTGCACATCCGTATATTGAGCAGACACACTATAGCCTTCCTGTTCACAAGATTGATGACGGTGTAGCTGATGTCCTCGACAGTTGCCGCTGGGTTGTACATCATTCTTTGGACAATTGACATGTGACTCTGACTTCTTTATGAAGGTTTGACTGATGGCTCAACAATGGTTGCATTACATTTGATACTCGGTTCAATGCTGCTCTTTGAGAGATATGCATAGGGTCAGATGGTTACTTTGTATAAAAGAGTTGTAAATGGTAAATGGCCTTGAGCTTGTGTAGAGCTTTTCTAGTCTTCTGACTACTCAAAGTGCTTTTTTACAGCAGGGCACACCTACACATTCACACACTGATGGTAGAGGTTTCTATGTAGTGAGACCATTAGAAGTAAATAATCTGATTCATACACATTCATACACCGGAGAAGAAGCAGTGGGAGCAATTCAGGGTCTTGCCCAAGGACACATTTGACATGTGGCTGCAGGAGCTGGGGATTGAACCATCGACATTCCAGTTGAAAGACAATGACTCTACCAACTGAGCCACAGCCACCCATTTGTATTTGTCCCTTATTTAAATTCATATAAAAAAAGACTAATTTTCATTTTTAAATTCTGGACCTTACATCTCGCAACGGCTGTGGCTTTTTTTCCACTTTGGAAATAAAGTTAGAAATAAATTGGAAAACCTGTGGTGTTCGCTGAGTAGGTCTTGAAATTGAATGCTGCTGGAGATTTAAAATCTTAAAATGTACCAAAAATGAAATAGTGGTTTAATTATAGCAGAAATAGTGGTAGTAGAAGGGGAGGTTTTGATTTGTAAAGTTGTCAGGAATTTAGGATATTGGTTGAAGTTCAACTTTGATACCAGTATAAGTGATGAAATAGCACTTATGATGTCTTCGGCACATCTAGAGATTTTTCCCCCCAGAAAATTAATAAATATATATCTGTTCTATTAAAGCTTCAATTACTTTGCATTCACTCTATAAGGAAATACCAGAACAAATCAAGGGGTTAAGATATCCTCTGCAGTGATTCTATACCATATGTCGGCTGTACGGTAAATAAAATACACTTCAAGACTTTCATTTCCAAGAAAGCTGTGAATATTTACTCAGCAAAAGAAACTGCGAGCAGTATATTTCTGACGTTTTTTCAACAGGCAGAAAGTAATGAAAGAAGGCACAGAGGGAAATTAACATCAGCAAATATCACCTGTAATAATAACTCTGGCTCACAAAAGTGTTTTAATTTAACCGGAAGAGCGGAGTCTAACTTTATATTAACAGCACTTTCACTCAAAGGTGTCAGTGTCATTAAGCTCCATTATTCATATTCAGAACATATGTAGGCCTCAAGAATGAAAGAAGATTCTGAGAAGCCGACCCACGTTATTATCTAGCAGGAAGTATGTGGGAGCACAGCTGTGAATACAAGTGTGTGCTGCAAAACATGCCCTCACATCTGTTCACGTGTGCCTTAAGATGAAAGCCCTTTACATGATTCAGAGCAGAGAATCTGTGCTGTCTTACCTCCTCGGGTCTCTGCTGCAACGTGTGTTTTGTCCTATTCACTAAGGCTGTGACCTTAAGTCATAAGTCTAATATGTACACGATAAACAACAAAAAAAATCTGTTTGCACAAGCAGCATTGCATAAGAAATAACCTTCAACATCTAACTTTCATACTGGCTTATTTTTCATCTTTTTACCATACACTGTACTCTCACTCGCGCCTTAATCCTTCTGATAAAAAAAAAAACGCTGAGAAAGTCCAATAACAAAACATTAACACTAATTCTTCCTCATAGAAGAAAAAAAAAAATCTTTGAGACACATATATATACGGCTGAATTTCAGTTTGTGGAACGTGAGGTTGGTGGGGAGGCAGGGGGGGGGAGCACCCTCTGGGAAATTTCCCCTGATCAAGTGCGGGGAGATTAACCAGTTGGACGTGTGCTAATGAACAGGAGATCATAATGAAAGCAGCTCGTAAATGTAGATGAGGCATGTGCAAAGGAACAATGGCCCCGCCTTGTATCAGATGGAAAACGGGAGTAATGTACAGAAACCAATTATTTGACTGTCCCTGTTTGCACCTACCGCCAACGTCCTGACAACTTTTAACAATGGACAAAAGAGAATGTACAATTCAAATGTGGACATGTGAATATAACATCTATTATGGTAATGTGTGCAATCACACTTTCCAAGAGAGCAAGCCTTTTGTCCCCACACAGAGGTGGTGTTGTTCCCTCCCCTGCTGGAGCCCCGTTAGAAGTTATTACACGGTGTAACAGCCGTTTTCATAAATCATCAACCTATGGACAAAACAGTAAATCACACACGGACAAACACGGCACGAGAGCACATCAAACACGATCACGGACAAGCAGAGAGAAAGAGAGAGCTAAGGTGGGGCAGAGTGGTCTCACAGAAGCTACAGTCAGACTTGACTTACTGATTACATAGTCTCCAAATGGATCCTCATCCTCATCATCATCTAGGTAAGCTGGAGGAGAAGACATTTCGGAAAGAAAGAAAAAGAAAAAAGGAGAAAAAGAAAACAACAAAAACAGATTATGACAAATCAGGACGGAGAGCATGACACTGAGAGTCAAAACCAAACAGAATGAAAAGAGACAAAAAAAAAGGCTTTGAATGAACAAACCTGACACAAAGTGGAAACAAGATGGGGTTAAAAAGAAGAAGCGCCCTTCATCCCTCCCATTATTCACCTTTTTTCCCACTTTCTTTCTCTCTATCTAATACCTCCAGCCTTCATTAGGAAGCAAAGCGCTGACCATTAAAACTACAAAAGTAGTTCCACCATTATGCAGAGGAAAATATGATCACTCTTAATTGGCTGGAGAATTCTCAATTTGCTCTCAGTGCTCCTTGCTCTCCCTCTTCCTCTCTCTCTCTCTTTTTCCTCTCTTTCATCTCTGGCAGGTCTGAAGATGGCATGAGAGGCCATTACAGCTAAATAAATTCCCAATTAGGGGGCGGTGGGATAGTCGTCAGCAAAGTTACAAGTCGGATGCCGATGATATTTCACAAGCTTTTGTGACTGCCTTTTACCTGATAATAATAATAGTGTTAGTGTGGTGAGGCCGTCACTGCTGATGCAGACAAAACACGCTCCTCTTTTCTCTTTTTTAAAATGCTTTCATTGTCATCTTTATGTGAAACTTCCCTCTCCCTCGTCTCTTCCTCTGTGTTTATTCACCGTTTATGTTTTCCTCTTCATCTCTTCTCTCCATCACTCCAGGCTCCCTCTCTTTAATGTGAGTTAGCATCCATCTACTGTGATCAATAACCCGGGGCTTTTATTAAACACTGCTCTTATGCATCTGTGTGTGTGTTTGTGCAAGTGCACCTGCCTCCCTTTGTGTGTCGGTCTTTGCGTGTGTGTATTATCGGCCTTCACCTCAATATCTTCCCCCGGTCCAACAATATCTTTATTGAGTCAGGGATGAACAACAAAGGCTGTGAATGTTTGTTGTTTTATTCATCCCTGTGTTTGAGCATGTATGAGCGTGGTGTTCTGTATCTTGAACACACCAATCTTTATTGATCTTGGCTGCAGGGCATTTTTACAAACCTCAGGCTTAACCTAAAGACTGGAGTACACACATGTGTGTGCGTGTGTGTGTGTGTGTGTGTGTGTGTGTGTGTGTGTGTGTGTGTGTGTGTGTGTGTGTGTTTTTGTGTGTGCGTCCATCACTACTTTCTCATTGCAGCATGTGTAGCTCCTGCTGCATGGACAAAAAGTCCTTGAACCAGTGGGTGAAGTATGGAGGCGTACATGCAGGCAAGCACACACAGTGATACACACACACACACACACACACACACACACACACACACACACACACACACACACACACACACACACACACACACACACACACACACACACACACACACACACACACACGCACAGTAATGCACAGTAATGCACAAACTCACAGTCGTGTGTTTGTGAAAGCGAGCTGTCAGTGCTGCTCTCACACACCATTCATCACAAGCTACTAATTCTGTTAGACCATTGTCGAGCCTTTCGCACCCCACGTTGCTCTCTGAAAACTCAATCAGAGGCTAATGCCCCCAACCCTGCTAACACACACACACACACACACAAGCTCTCACTCTCACTTTCTTACTCACACACACTCTCAGAGAGACCCCGAGGGGACAGCAGTGGTCTTAGGGGACCACACCAGTCCAAATCTATAAGTGTGGCTGGAATTTGATCGACAGGAGCGGCAAGGGCCGAGTTACTGGTGTTAGAGAGTGGCTGAGGTCTGAAAAGAAAAAGATCTTTGCAATCACTGCCATGACATACAATAAGAATCTGAATCCCAAAGTATAGAGCGCTTTTCACACAGAATCCAAATGATCATAATTAAACATTATCTTAATTTACCTTGATTACAAATCATTCTTATCAGCATTGCATCAAAGTAACAACACATCAGCGACTTATACATGGTTAATTTAGTTTGATTCATGGGAGGATTTGTGCAGTTCACTTAAAAAGAATAAAGAGGACAGGGCTGGTGCAGGCACTCTGCCACCTGTGATAGTGAATTTGATTAGTTAATCAGGAATCACTCTGCCCAATGTGGCTTTTATAAAGCATAATTACAGCTCCAGCTAACAAAAAAAAAAATAATAATTTGAGTGCAGATGTTCTGAGTGGAATTTTTAAAAGTTCTTCTGTTTTGTCAAACAAGAGAATTAACATAAAGTAAAACATAAATATAACAAGACAGACTATTACTTAAGAAGAAAAAAAACCTCATACAGTAATTTTCAAAAAATGCACAAGTGAGGGGGGACCAGACAATGCGCATGCCCAGACGAGGGGCAGGATTAGGCAGAAAGGCCAGACTAAATTTAGCGCCACCTTTTCATTCTCTAATTACGAGATTAATACATCCTGTCACATACGTCACAATATGACCCTGTGATTTATTATCCAGTCGACCAGATGGAGAGATTGGGCCAGAGAAGGAACAAGGAGAGGGAGATGGTCTGAAAGCAGCTAATCAGCATGTATGTGTGATTGGGCCTTGACGGTGGATGGTGTGTGTGTGTGTGTGTGTGTGTGTGTGTGTGTGTGTCCGCTATTTAACGAGAGGGAACACTAAGCTGTATGAACCCACACACACACACACACACACACACACACACACACACACACACACACACACACACACACACACACACACACACACACACACACACACACACACACACACACACACACACACGAGCATGTTAGAGCACTGGACTATGGATTTCGCTATAAAGTAAGCCCTGGGTCTAAATCAATGTCAAAGCCTGATCTTATTTCATCTAATGCATGTTTTAATCATTCTCCCTCCTGATCAATGCAGTTTGGATGCGGCCATCAGGCACTGCTGTGAGAATTTACAAGCGTTTCTATTCTCCTGCCGGTGTTTCCAGACGGACATTTTACGAGGCAGCGCACAGTGCGACAGTAAATCTCTTCCTCCACTTTGCCAATATGAAAATCCTCCCAAAGCTGCTCTCTATGCCCATATTTGTTTGTCTCACTGTGTTGCTCGTGCAAATGAAATTTGTATTGGCTCTGCCAAGTCAACGTTCTAGTCTCTTTATTTTAATAGTGTCTGGAAGGGGTAATAAAAGCAAAGTGTCTTTATTCAATATTCGGCAATAAAGCTGGATGTAGGGAAACTTTGAAACCCCTGAGTTGCATTTAGGAAACTAATTTAAAAGGCTTTACATACTTGTCGGTAATTGGAATTTAGCAGTAAATGAAAAAAAATTTAAATTCCCATAGTTTTAGTTTAGCAACTGATTGAACTGGTGCCAGAGGTCTGCAGAGACAAAACGACTTCATTACAATGACTGGGAGAGCCACTGAGGTCCTGCTGTGCTGTTTTTGCCAGGCCTCGAAAGACACTCTGTGTGTGCATCGTATCCCGAGTATATGAACACGGGGTGATTATTTTTACTGTTATTGGTTTCACATTTTAAGTGGAATCATATTGTGGTTGTACTAACACAATTTATTATTGCACAAAATTGTCCGAAGTAACGATGTTTGATGAAATTATCACTGTAATGTAACTGAGGATCTCAAATCTTGAGGTGACAATAAATGTCTCCATGGTAAACGTGTTAACTTTTTTTTTATAAATAAAGATAGTGAAACATTTGATTTAAAAAAAAGTAGATTAAAGGAAAAGACCAAAATGTATAAAAATTATAATTAATAATGCATTTTATACATTTGCCTTATTATTGAAAAAACTGATAAGATAGTTTTATAATAATAACAACAGTTATTTGCATATCACTTATAGATTCAGGTTTACACACATTTCATACATTAACTTCATATCCAGACAACAAACTGTGCTCATGACTAAAAATAACAACTAAAACAGATTATAAAAATGTGTTTTAAAACAGCCTTTAAAGGAAGCCTGATTCAATGGATCTGATGGAAGAGAAAAAGCCGCAGCAAAAGCACGGTCATCTGTGGTTTTAATCTGAGAGAAAGAAACTAATAGAAGCTGCTGATCAGTCAGACGAAGAGGCCGACCTCTACAGTAGGTCTGTATCAGCTCAGTAATATGCAGGTGTTAGGCTATGCAGTGCTTTATAAGTGATTAACAAGATTTCAAAATTGAATCTGTGTTTTACTGGAAGCCAAATGTGTAAGGCATAAATTGGGATGATATGAGACGGATGATTTTGTTTTGTTAACAGCAGAGCCGCTGCGTTTCTGAACAAACTGAAAACGGGTTGAAGAGGGAGGTGTGATGTCAGTAAAGAGGAGTTATTTATTTGGATTTTTTAATTCTTCTTTCTTTTCTCTCTCTTTTTATGATGGTCAAATTAACTCCAAACATTTTATTTTATTAGATTTTTTCTTCTTGGTACTTCCCACTCAGCTCCTGACTTTGTTGCATTACACTGCCACACACACATTCACACCTTTCTTACACTACCTCAACAAGTTACTACTTGACTTTCATTAAATCTAATTCAATTATATTTGTTTGTATTATTATATTGTATCTTTGCTAATGTTTTGCGTATCTATTTTGTTTGTTATTGTTTTACTTGTCTTTGTTTATTTGTTTTTGCTTTAGTTGTCATATATGTACATCTTGTCTTGTATTTGTTCACCTTATCACAATAATAAAAAAAATAACGAGGGAGTTAAAGAAGTCTAAGCAAGAGAAAATTAGGGTAGCTGTAATTTTGTGTTGTGTGTGGATAGGTTATATTTTTGCAATATTTTATAATTAAAAAAGGAAGATGGAACAATCTTGGTAATGTGAGCTTCAGAGTTCAGATGTCAAAGAGAACAGTGAGATTTCTAGACGTAGAATTAAAGTTGCTTGATAGGGGACCGATATGCTGCTTGAGCTCTTTTGTGAAGCTCTCAGGGCCGATCACCAGGACCTCAGCCTTGTCAGGAGTTTATGTGGAGAAAAAGGTTTTCAGACAGCCAACTTGAAGCTGCTAGACACTCGTGAAGGGTGGTAAGGTTATAGAGATTATAATGCTTGACAGAGAAGTAGAGCTACGTATCGTCAGCATAACAATGATGAGAGAAATCACAACAGGATTTTAGTAGATGTCCCAGAGGTAACATGTTTTATAAAAAACTTAATAGGTCCAAGGACTGAGCCCTGAGAGGGGAGCAGAAGAGGATACATAACTGTTCATTTGAACCTTGAAATGTCAGATAAGTAAGAAGAAAACCTTTGGAGAGCCACCCCCGAGATACCCACACAGTTAGTAAAACTCAAATGGAATATTCACCTTTATCTCCACACAGAAGTGAATAGTAACTCTGAGCAGTGTAGTTATGAGCTAGTAGAAGCCGGATTGAAATTCATCAAAGACAATGTTGCCCTCAACCAGTTTAGGAAGCTGGAGCGTGACGACTTCCTCCAGAATCTTTGAATTAGAAGAGGGTTTAGAAAGGTGTCTGAAGGTAGCTAACTCAGTGGTGTCAAGTGTTCAGTCATGATGCCCAGCCCCAGTGAAGAGGGGTTTGTGTATCTATAACCACATTTTATTTCATTTTATTTTTGTGTAAAAGTGCATGCACCCTTCGTTTGCATTCAAAAACTATGATGTCCTGTAGGTGCTTTCGCGGGGCCACAGTGCATGAAACGATGTACATTAGAGAAATATTCAGAAAAATAGTTCATTTAAAAGCAGAGCACCCCTACAGGCCTGCAGTATGTACTTCTGTTAAAAAGTGCTGGACTTGCAGCACTTGATTATCTGCAGTTGTATTTTAAATGTGTGTGTGTGTTTTTGACTTGTTTGGTTGATGTATTTGCAGCACGTTTGTTTCATTTCGCAGCATGCGTCAGCCGTCGCATTTGTTTTTGATGTTTGCATTTTCTGCTGAAAGTGTAGCATTTCTGAATATGCTGCCCGTTTCTGTCCATCATTTCAGCTGTTGCCCAGCCAACGCACCTACAGGCCACCGTAGAAAACACTACATTCAAAGTCTCATCTACATCTATGCAGCAGGGTGACTAACAACTTTTTGCTCAAAGTTCTCTGTGCAAGTTAATTGAGTTCTAGATGTTTACATTAAGCACACTTGAGGTGCTAATTGTGTTGAGACTAGCAAAGAAACCAGGCAACGTGATTGACAACTGCTATCCATCCAAAACATCACACTCGGTAATTTGTTATTGACTCAGGTTTTGTTCTTTGTCTTTTGTATTTGTTTTTTTTTCAGACCGTTTGGCTCCTCCAGGAGCAAATATTTAAAAATAGTAAATGTAGTTAGGCAACCTGAGAGATGGGGGGAACGTCCTCCTAGGATTGATTTGTAGTCCATGATTTTTTATTAAATACAAATATGGTCATGGAGATAAAAGATATGAGACAAATAAAGTTGTGAATTTATCAATCAAACACTCTGCAGCCAGTTACCCTGCTGACAGGCAGCACACACACACACCCACAAACACACACAAACAGTACTTTCCCTGAGGTCTCTGATATCTGTCTCTGTTTTGCCAGGATTTCTATTTTGGTAGTAAAATCTGCAGTAGGGCACGTGCGCACCTTCATCCACATGTACCCTGCCGCCCTGAAGGGGAACCCTAGACCCTTTAGCTGACATCTGTCAGTCATATCGGCGAGTTACACTGACAGGAGCATAACGAGGGATGGTAGAAGGCAAGAGCATGAGCAAAGAGAAGAAAGAGGAGAGAAGAAGAGGAAGCTTGAAAGATGAAGAAGAAAGGTGGGAGAGGAGGGAGATGAAGAGGAGGAGGAGACGGGAGTGGAGGTGAGACTTCTGAAGCTTGTTAGAGATGCTGCGAGATGAGAGTGGTGCAGCGTGCTGTTTGGTGTTTTAGCACGTCACCGTCTTTTTGATTTGTTAGCATGTGTTTATGATGTTGTTTCTCTGTCTGCATAAGTCAATCTCTATTATTAGACCCTCAGATCTTCCTCCTGCAGTTTTGACACTACCGTTGCTCCTGTTTCACACTTCCTTCCACATACACAGGTGCAGGGTTTGGGATCATACACACTCTCACACCCGGAGACAGACAAAATAGGATATAGAAAGACAATGACATACTCAGACACACTTGCAAAATCAGCACCCACAGTGCTCGGGGCACACATGCCGTTTAAGTCTGGTGGGAGTGAAATCTTTCCTCTGGGTGCTTTGAGGTGTGACGTGCCTTCAGTATCAGATGTTCTGTTTGGAGGCAGATGCAGGAGCGAAGGGCGAGATTTCCCCTCATTCAGAGAAGTAAGAAATAAGTAACAAATTGACTTGATCAGACACAGGCACACACCTGGTCCTTTTATCAGGCTGCTGCGCTGCCTCTGATCTCTTCATGCTGGCAGAAAACAGCAACGGAGACGCTTGATCTAAATCTCTGGTCTGTAAAAAAAACACCACGAGACGAGGCTGAAGGTATGAGCCTGTGGTTCCCCTGAATGCTTCTATAGAAGGCGATATTTTGAAGCCTTGCAATTAGTTTAATTGACTTTGATTTGACTCATAATCTGCAAAATCAACCCGAAGAAAGGCGAGTCAAGGCACAAAAATATCCATGAATATCACTTTTTGACGAAGTTTAAACTTTAAACTTCAGAAAAAAAAACTTTATATGGTCTCAACAATCAACACTTAGTGACATCATACTGCAGGCAAATGATTATCACAATATAGTCCTGGATTAAGAAGCTAATTTTACAAGGTCTGGAAATGCCGGCGACACAGTGCTAAACGCTGTTTTCCTTCCCTGGCCCTGAGACAGATAGAGGGAGGGTATAGCGTCTTTAGCTGATATCTGCAGCTGCAAGATTAGCTTGTTAATTAACCACAAAGCAATTATCAGGTGATGGGATGAGAGGCGCGTCTCACGGAAGGTGTTCCTTGACGTGTTTAATAGGTGTTGAGTAGTTTGATCAGTCGGCAGAAGTTGTCTCTAATTCTGCGGCCCCGCAGTCCTACAGAGGTTGATCCACAGCTGATATGTGCGGCTGCAGGAGAATTCAATTAATTAGACTGTTGCTTTTCCTTCCATCCACTTTTCATTAACCTCCATTGACACCTCGGCAAAGCTGGAGCGCTGGTTTACGACTGCGTCAGGATTAACAAGGAAATGGGGAGTTGGTAATAAACAAAGTTGCCAGAGGATGAAGCTCCCCTCTGGGAACATCACACATTCACACTTGCAGATTCAAAGAAAGGATGCACTTGAAAAGTAAAGAATAGCTTTTTGTCTGACTGCATCTCTTTGTTGGATCACAGAAGTTAGAACTCAACAGTGTTGCTGCCTCCGAACCCAAATGATTGGTTTGAAGAGTGACAGACCAGTGGTGAGATCTAAGCAGCTGAGTAGTGTAAGAGGGTAGAGGTAGCAGGCTTTGGCTAAGTGTTATCGATGGAAATAAGGATGGCTCTCTGGGGTGTCCAACCACTGTTCTTCAGATCAAAACAGACAATCCATAAAACCAACTCACTCCCAATTCATATAAGGGCTGTTTGGAAAGATTTGAACAATACTGAAGGATGTGAGTGATATACATTCTCACTGAGGATCGCTTTAAACACAGAGCGGTCTGACCCATTCTCCCCTTTGTGTTCGATCAATCAACACGTCTTTCTAACTTTCTTCACTCAAATCAATGGGTTTGTACTTTGTTATACACATTCCATCTTGCACTTGTTTCCAAAGGGTCTTTGGTCCTACCTGATTCATCGTCAGACTTGTTATCGTTGTCTGAGTCGGTGAGGGTGAGGGCAGAATTCTCGCGGCTGGACACTCCTGAGCTGCGGCGGGATTTTACTCTCCCTCTTCCGGCCCACAGCTGGATGGCTCTCTCTGGAGTCAGCGGCCCCTCAGGGTCCGAGTCGGCATCGGAGCCGGCGCTGAGGGAGTACCCCCTCTGGAGGAGGCCCAGGTCGGGACAGTAGGGAACGGCAGCAGGGTGAGGAGGGGGAGTCGGCTCGCACACTCCCAGCTCTGCCAGGGTGAAGTTCCCCCCTGTGCAGGAGAAATTGCAGTTACAAGTTGGCGTGTAGAGAGTTATTTAAGTAAAGCAGTGAATAAAGGCACTCACATAAACAAATGCTTGCACACTTATCTAGCAAACAAACCCACAATCACACGCAGAGAGGCACACTAATTATGAAACTACGGAGGCGGAGGCTGAAAATTGGGCTTTGTTGTTGCAGGCAGGAGGGGGAGAAGATGACGCAGCATGAATCAGGCACAAACTACAAACTAGCTGCTGGAAGGAATATGTAGTGGCCTGCAGGCCTGTTAAGGCTGGCTTAGAAGGCCTGCCGCCCTCGCTTTGCTGCGCCGCATTGGCATTCATGAGATGTTGATGTGAGATCAAAGAGCTGCTCACTGGAGGCCTCTCAGACTGTAGTGGAGCTGCTTCTCGGCCTCCTCGGTTTGATCATCTACCCACCTAGTTACCATCACACACTGGACCCCTGGCAGAGTGAATATACCGCAGTCTGCTGCGGCTCCGTCCCCGCTGCCTAACACTCTCCCCTCAAGACAAACCAACTCGTCACATCCAAAATAAATATATAAAATTATCCAAATTAAAGCACATCAAAGGGGATCAATAAACAGTGCTGCAGCCCAATTAAATCCAAGCTGAGGAAAAAGCAATTAAGGAAAAAGGCATGCTCAACCAATTTATTCTCTATACTAATTAAAAGAGTATTGTGGATGCAATCGCTCACCATCAGCTGTTGGGGCAAAGGGATCGGGGGAAAAACAGTTGTGATTCACTTCATTAGCAGTTTGTGAGGGAGGAGGAAAAGGGAAGAGGCGAGTGAGAGGATGGCACAGTGTATGAATCAATGGGCTGGGAACCACACAGCTGTGTGACTGGGTTAACTGTGACTCATCAAGCGTACGGACGCAATCAGAGGGAGAGGAATTAAACAGATGACAATCGTCTGCTGGATCTTCACTGCCGCTCTTCACAGGCTCGCCAGAACTTGAGATTTGTTCTGAAAAGTAATGAGGAAGAGGAGGGCGAAGAGGGAAAACTTGGGGAGGTGTGAAAGGCTTCTACTTCCTTTCGTTCTACACAGACAAACAGATGGACCCGACTAAAAAGCAGACACAAATGAATTACTCCACAGGTAGATTCAGCTTCTAGACTACAGCTTGGCAAGAATCCAACCAGCTACGAAGCATCCAAGCACTGCAACGCATCAAAGAACATTACCATTCCTTATCTTCTTTGCTTCTTTGTCGTTTCCTCCCACTTATCATGAAAGACGACAAAAGACACCTTCATTACTACACATGAAACTAGGGACTTTTTACAGTCTGTTGGTAATTAAAACTAATTCTACTAAATATGCACAGGATCTAACACTAGTCTCTGAACCCGTACCTGAGATGAAGTACCGTAGGAGGACAGGGGAGAACTCCAGCAGGCCTGAGAGAGTGAAGCACATGAATTCTTTAACATCAGTCGGCATGTCAGTGCTAAAAAAAGCTTCTAGTCCACAATCACATTTAGGATTAGCCTTTGTGTAAATCATACTATCCAACCACAGAGACAACAATTGGGCTACAAACACATCTTCTACTCTAGGGAGACGCTACATGGAATTAGTTACACAATATGAAAGTGTTTGTGCATGTGTGTATATGTGTGTGTATGTGTGTGTGTGTGTGTGTGTGTGTGTGTGTGTGTGTGTGTTGTGCACTCAACACACTTATTGTATGTTAAATCCCACAGGCCACCGCTCTGTACAATTAACATCACACAACCAGTGATTACACATTCCAAATCCAATCACTCCTTATCACCATCAGCAGCAAGGCACGGCCCGACGACGCCGTAGCAATCTACATGTCCTCAAAGAAAGATGGATTGGTATGACGGGCCGAAGCAGACATGAAAATCTATCTCAGTTATTCCACAAATGGAAAACCAATCGCATGTTCGTAACATGATATTGTGACAGATGTGGGGGAAAATGTGGCGCTGCATTGTAATCAGATCAATGGCTTTCTTATAGTACGACACTGGCGCTGTCATTTTTTGCACTTATATAATATATTAATGTGTGTTTTGAACCCTGAGCGGCTTCTGCAGCTGCTTTGGGATGTGAACATCTGTGTCTGCTCATTGTGGTGGTGCTGACGCGTGCGTTTTGTTCATTGAGAGTTTCTCTGTGCATTCATATGAACGTGTTATATATCTGAATTAGACTGTGCTGTAGGGGGGGGAAGTAGCACAATCTTCCCTGAATGCTTTTCTCTAATAGAGGGGGGAAAGAGTGTTGAAGAGAGTGAAAGGACGGGAAGAAAAACAGGCAGATTTGAAAAGAGATGTGATAATTTGTTACTGAGTCACGTTCTGTCTTTCAACACTCAGGGAAACAGATTACAAGTTTAGAAGAAGTTCTTAAATCAGTCAAATTCAATAAAATGAAGGCTTTGTTCAGCTCAATAGGAGTAACAAGAAAGCACACAATGACCTAGCAGAACGGAAAAGTGGGTTAATAATATGTATGTCTGTGTGTAGACATCTGCATTTGACTGTGCAATAGAGCTGAAACGGCATCATCTTGAATGCTTCCCTGAATAATTTCCACTATCAGAGTAGAGAGCATAAACGAATGAAGGCAGAAAAACAAGGACAGTAAAATAGCGTGAAATGCGTGTAAGAGAAAATGAAACCAAGAAGAGAGGGTTGCAGAGTTTCTGTTACCCAGAGATGGGTAGATGAAATTCAAAACTTTTTTTTTCACGGTGCATGGAAACAGAATATGAGCGAGAGTATGGATGGGTCTCATTCAGTCTATACTCGATCGAAGTCAAGTGAAACAAAAGTAAATATATTATCGAGTGTCGAACAAAGAAGTGGAAAAAGCACAACATATTAAAATGGATTTTAAAGAAGCAATATGTAACTCTGACACATAGCATTTAAAAATTGGTACTGCAATTCAAATTTAAAACATTGTCTCTCCCTGCCTTGATGGTCATGCAGGCGGCCATTTCGCACATACTGTGGCTTCAGTGTTTAGCCAGCTCTGCATCAGTCTTGAAACCTTTTAGGTTTTAGAGTTTATTAGAAACATGCAGAGGCTTTTTAGGTCGTGTAGAATCAGTTATACCTGAACCAGTTTGCTTGCTTGCTTCCATCGCTGCAACACCTGTTGGTTTGCCGTTTGCCACGCAAACCCAGGGGCATCCAAAACAGCCTTGTGGGGGTGCCTTAAAACCGCCTACCCTTTCTGGTCAATCCAAATACAGACCATTCAGCACTGGGATCGAACCTTAGAAGGAGGACATACTGGCTGCTGCATCGTTGTCAGAGAAACCAGCACTTCAATATAGCATGTTTCCTTAATGCCTGATAATAGAGTACGGTATTTTTATGATTAAATTCAGTTGATATCTTACATATTTCTCCTTTAATCTATACAGTATAAGAACATTATTTTTATAGTTTTCATCATTTTGAGGATGGATGATGATTGTGACTGTGACATTGCAAGAAAAAAAAAACATTAAACCACTGTGAAGTGTTTTGACATCTTACAAGCCTTCAAATGAATTGATTTCTGCCACTAAATTGCATTGTCCCAGTAGTACATGAAGCATCATATCCAAACCAAACGAAGCCTGAGTGACATCAGCCATCTGTTCCTGCAGGGGGCTCTGGAGGCTCATCGGCATCCGCCGCCATGCTGGAAATCCTGTCTAACTTTCAGTCAACCTAACGACAGCATAGAAAGCTGAGGTGGGTTTTAAATCTCTAGACGAACAGTTACATCGCACCCACCTGTCAATCATGTCAACTACGTGCCTGACTATGGATACAGTGTGTGCCAGTGATGACAATAACTAATCAAGCCTATTTTGTTTTATGTACCAGGCTGTAAACATGTTTATTTATGCTGAAAAAAGTCATGTTTATGTGACTTCCGGTGTTCCTGGAACCAGCCTCATGCCGAGGAACTGCAGGTTTTTGCATATTCACATTGGCTTCTTTCTCCAAGAGCGGAGGTTGCCGCTGGCCTCTACTCAGTTAGATCCCTTTGCCAGGCACTCTGTTACAGCTGCATGTAAAAGAAGTAAGACAACAGGCGGAGACAACCTTACCAACAACATAAATGGATGTGTGACGTAGTTGTGTTACAATTCACACAACTCCGTGCACGCGCCACGGTTTTGCTCCGTCGGACGGCTCGCACCCATTCACACTGGATCCGTTTCTGGAACGTCAGCGCAGCCATGATCAGCTATACACACATCACAGGAGAACTACAAGATCCCGCGGGAATAAAGAGAAAAACATGCAAACAACATGTTGCTTTGTCTTTCTGAGGATGCATTGTTGTTCATTCGGTGCCTGTTTTGACGTAATGTTGATAAAGTGATGAAAAATACAATCACAAGTCCGTATATTGTGTTTTATTTTGAAATTGACCGGATGTTCTGTGCGTTTCCTTGTCTGACTTCCTGTCCGGGCTGTCATATCTGTCCAGCTTGACGCGTGCCTGCAGCGTACTCTGGCGAAAATAGACTCGCTGCGTATTTGAAACGGAGCAGAGCGCAGTGTACCGTCGGTGGTACACGCCGGAGACAGACCGCAGCGCGCACGTAGTATGTGTGAATTGGGCTTAAGTCACCTGTATCTAAGGGTGTTCAGATACAGTAGCTCTGTTAGAGTAGCCATCAAAAGACTCCACAACATGTCACATGCCTGTTGCATTTCAACTGCAGGCAAAATTGACTTTTGCTCATATGTGACTCAGATCCGATTTTTTCTGACAACTGAACAGAACATGTCACATGTAATCTCTTCTTTTCAAATAATTTGGGCCACTTCCATATTTGGTCCTGAACGGGATTTAGGTCAGGTCAGAATGCATGCAACTTTGAAGTCACTTTGAGTGACGCTCATTACAGCTCTGCAACATACTTTGTGCCAGGTCATATGCCTAGCATTGCACGTTACTGGGCTGCTGCACTAGTTGGAGACATAGGAT